GGCCTCGGCGCGCAGGCGCAGCAGTGCGCGCCACTCGCCTGTGGGGGCCGCCGCCTCCTCAGGAGACGCGGCCGGCCCGCCCTCGGGGCAGCCCGCCCCCTCGGGGGCCACCCAGGACCAGGAGCTGTTAGCCAAGCCGGAGCCGAAGAGGCGCAGGCGGAAGGTGGCCTCCGGTGCGGCCCGCACCTCTCCTCCGCGCTCCCACCCCGCGTCCGCGGCTCCGTCCTTCTCCAGACAGACGCCCAACACTCGCGGGCCCGACGCCGCCTCCCCGGCGGCGTTTCCCAGGCACAGCGCGGCGAGCAACCAGCCTAGACGACCCGCCGCCGCTGCCGCCGCCATCGCCTGCTGCCCCCTCTCGGCCTCCCGCGCAGCCTACCCCTCCGCCTCCCCTGGACCAATCGTCTCTAGCCTTGGCGCCTCCTCCGCCAATAGCCAGCGGACGAGGGCGGGCCCCAGGGTCGGACTAGGCTGCGCCGGGGAGTAAACAAGCGGCGGCGCGATCCCGGGGCGGGCCGGGGGCGTGGGGCTCTCGGCCCTGCGGGGCTCGGCCGTGACTCCCAGGGCGAGAGGTGGCCAGCGCCCGGACGCGCGGAGCGGCGAGCTGGGCGTCCGGTTCCCACAGGCCGTGCCGGCACGCCCGGATGCCGCACTTGTGCTCTGGGAAGTCCCTGACTCGGGGCGCGGAGCGGAGCGGCTTGCAGGCAGAGATTTCAAGTGTGTGGCAGATGTACCGTTTCTTTGGAAAGGGCCCCGTGAACCACTGGCCTAGGGGCAAGGAGAGCTGAAAGAACCGGTGACCGGACGTTGGGAAGCTCAAGTTTCTTGGAGATTGTGCCCGACTGTGCTATAGGTCTGGGGACGTGAGACACAGCCCTTTGCCTTCAAGGAACTTGCATTCCTGCCAGGGAGAACGATGGTAATTATGTAAACACACGAAATCACTACCTCATTGGACCCTCAGAGCCACTTTTACAGGAGAAAAGTGAAGCATGACTTAGCACGGATGCAGGATTCCAACACGACCTGCCTGGTCATCATCCTAGCCACGTTAGCAGAGGGCACCTCTGTCAGAAATTACTGTTACCTGGTCACGCCACTTCTAGCAGATAATCCTTGGGAAAATACTTGCTCAGGAACAACAAGAACTATTCAAGAGGATCCTTACTAGAGAGTTACTTAGAAGACAAGACCCGCCCGGGAGGCGGTCTTGACAGGATGGAATGTTTTTCACCCATTGTGTATGATCTCTGTATGATTGGAAGGAAACAAACTTAACAAGGCTTTTTTCTACAGGGATCCAGATTGTTTTTGTATTTTCTTTACGTTTTTACGTATTTTCAAATTCCCTAACAAAAGAAGACTTTTCATAAGGGTGCTCATATTCATGTCATTTAAAATCTTCATAAAGAGTCTACGGAAATACATTTGCTAGGTCATGAAAATAATAAAAAGTATAGGCACTGTGGCCACAATTAAGTAAAATGTGTGGAACGCAATGTGCAAAAATGAGCAAATCCATGGCAAATGACCAAAAGAAAAAATACTTTGTGGAAAAACTCTCCAAAGGATGCTAAGAATGTCTCTTCAACATTGTAAATTCAGCGCTGTGACTAGGCCAACCACGTCTCCATGTTTGCAGTTTTTATTATCTAGAGGGTGCTACACCTCACTTGCAGATTACAGAATAAGCCACCAGCAGAAGCAATAATGACACTACTGAGCCTTTCCACTGGATCAGCATGCCTCCTTTGAAGAAAAAAAAAAAAAAACTATGGATTCAGCCCCTTTAGTTCACTCTTCTGTCTCCAAGTCCAGATAAAATGCTGACATTGAAATAAAATGGATGACATCCTTGAAAGTTATATGCCTGGAAAAGTTATTAATTAGCAAAGAACAGTTCCAGAGCAAAGACAGGAAAAACTCCGTATGGATCTGGTCTCAGGTGCCCTTGGAAAACAACCAGTAATCCATATTTTGGAGAAAATCTTTGGGTAGGACAACTGGATCGCACTTGGAAACACAAATGGTCATTTAAACTGTGGATACCCAAAGACAGAAAGAATCCAGTAGGGCAAAGCTGCTCAAGGAGGGATTTTCTGTTAACAATAGAGGCCTCAACAGTACTTCTCCAGCTTCTTTTTCTTCAATGGCTCTGCACCATTCTTTAACCCCATCCCCTGGGTTGTCATTGCGTCAATGGAGACACATGCCACTTGACCTTCAGGTCCCTCATTGACCCTCCCTTGGCGATTTTCCTTACTGCTCATTTGGTTCAAGACATTTCCATGTTTCACCTAAATACTTATTCGTGAGTTTTAAACTCATAACTATTGTGACTTCACTGGCTAATTTTTGCTTATTTCTCAAGTCTGCAAGTGTCACTTACTCCAGCTGGTCTTCCTCGACCATCTTGACTAGGTTGGGTCAAGGTTATGGGAGCTATGTGCTCTTCCCTAATAGCATCCAGTATTCACCTTTTCGTAAGACCCGTTCGTTCATTCATTCAACAAGTATTTCCTGCAATGTACCAGGTACCATTCTAGTGCTGGGACTATGCGGGAATGAGAAAGGCCCTGCCCTGCCAGAGCTTAGGTTCTAGCATGGGAACAACAGACAATATACAAATCCTCATTTTAATATCTGGCAATAAGCGCTATGGAGAAAAACAAAGCAAGATAAGGAAATGGATAGAGGGATTGGGGCCATGCTGTTTTAGATGCGCTGACCAGGGAAGTCTCCAAGGAGGCGACATTTGAACGGAAGCTTAGATGAAGTGAGGGGGTGAGCCTCACAAAGACTTGGGAGAAGTGTTCCATGTGGAGGAGAAAGGAAATCAAAAGGTCGTGGTGTGCCTGTCTCCCTCAGAGACTCTTCCTCACTACACTCAGAGGGGTTGATGGCACCTGGCATGTAGCAGGGGCTTACCCATGTGTCAGATGAAATTTATTCTTGTGTCCACCTGCTTTTGCATCTGTTATTTTATCTACAATGTCCTTTTTTCTCCCTAAGTGCATCCCTTTTTTTAAACATTAGCCCCAATTTGTCTGCTTTGGTAAGCCTGGCTTGCTTGGGCCCCTGGCCCCAGCACACTCTGTTACACACCGTAGCCACAGTACCTATGGGCACCGCACGAGTCCACACACACAAACCTCAGGAGTGAACGCAGTGAGGTGACTCTCAGGTAGACTCTTCAGGGGTTGAGCTGTCCAACTTTGAGACCACCACCAGCTCATGAGCAAGGACAAAGAGGCAGCTGCATGTTATGAAGCAAGGCGATCATCCTGTTGGATCAGGCTCCTTTTTCCTTCAGCCCCCAGGGGGGAGAGGAGAGGCTATCTGTCCCCTCTAACCGCCCCGTCTGGTACCTGCAGGCAGAAGACTATGGTGTCCATTTTTACAAATTCCTCAGTGTGGCAGCTGAGCACACTTGCTCCATCCATCTCACAGCAGCTGCTACTCTCTAGCTCCTGGGACAACAGCCTTGATTATATATATTTTGTAAATTTCATTTCTGCTTCCTTTTTACTGTTCAAACAGTCCCAGGGCGCCTGGGTGGCTCAGTTGGTTGGGCGACTGCCTTCGGCTCAGGCCATGGTCCCGGAGTCCTGGGATCAAGTCCCACATCGGGCTCCCGGCTCAGCAGGGAGTCTGCTTCTCCCTCTGACCCTCCTCCCTCTCACGCTCTCTGTCTCTCATTGTCTCTCTCGCAAATAAATAAAATCTTAAAAAAAAAATCTTTAAACAAAAAAAGGGAATGAGGCTGTAGAAAAGAAAAAGAAAACATTTACTGTATTTCATCAAATTGAAGACGCCATCAATTGTGAGACACATCCTGATTGCAAAGATGTTGAAATACAAAAAACAATGCACCTGTGAACTGAAGGAATGCGGCACA